TTTAAAATTTTGGTGAAATTAATATTTTTAAGATTACAAAAAAACCTAAATTACTACCCTTAGAGTATCATTTTTAACACTTTTAGGGCACGCCTTAGAGTTGACCAATCGTCAATTTTTGCACAATTATTTTTCCGGGTATTCGAAGAATTCTAAGGAGTGACATTCGTAAATTTTATTTAAAAAAATATTCTTTTTTATCTAATTGTTTAAATTTATACGCATAGCTATCATGATGCTTTTTGTGACGGGTTAGGAACTATGGACATTGTAAATTGTTAAAAAAAATTTTTTACATAGTATAATTTGTATTTTTAGTGTATATTAAGTTAGAAGTGGAAACTTGAGTTATAAAAGAAACACGAGCATATACGTTTTATGATCTGTTCATAGTAATTTTTTGCAAGACACATATAATGAAAAATTAAAGTTAATATAAAATTGATACAATTGATCTAAGGGTTATTTTATTTTTTTAACGATAATGGTTCTACGTAGAGTTGAGTTACAAGAAAAATAAATTTTCTACTACAATACCTTTAACCTCAACAAGTAACAACTTTCGATTTTCAAATGGCGACTCCAATTTATTTTTATACCATCAAATTTATCAATTGAAAGAAAATGTTATTTGAATTATTCGAATACAATAAATTGAGATTTTTTAAAGTTTAGGTACAATCAGAAAAGCGTATTTATTTTTGAACGACAACAAAATTATTTTGTGTTATATCGATAAATTGTACATCTTGCTATAATATGAAGCTATAGCAAAAAATTTAATTTTTCATACAAAACAGTTCAAAATGAATATTATTGTTAAGAAAATATAATAATGATGAGCTCTAATATTGTAAATTTAACGGTTAAAATATTTTTTTTGGCCTTTACTAAGGAATCGTATTGTTAGTTAATACTAAAAATTGTCGATACATTTAATTTAATCTGTTGTGTTAATGTGATTTTTAACATTCAAAAATCATTAGACTCTGATGTAATCGCATCCTGTAATACAATAATTATCATTTATATCATAGTTTCTTTAATTGTTTTAAGTGAAAAATAAAACATTAAAATAAGGTCACAAAACAATTATATCAATTAATATTTGTTTGGTTGCAAACGCTACACGAAAATTCAAGAAATTTTGAATTAAACTTCTGCAATTCACATTTATTTTAAAATAATTTTAGTAACCAAATGAATTTAACAATTGGCTAAAATATCTTTTCTTTTCTAAAATTAATATTAAAAGGAATTAGGCACAACTTAGGTTTGAACAAAATA